AGATTTTAATCAACTTACATTTCTGTACCAATGTAGGAAACTGCCTTGCCAAAGTCACGAATGCACATCACGGGAAAATAATTCACTCTGTGCTGTTATGCAAAGGGTAAGGTCTTTTAAATAGGTAAATGGTAAAATGCGGATGATGTGGTAAATTTGTACAGTGAAGGTATGCTTTGTTACACCACAGCTAGTTTTCAAGTGCTCAATCGTGTATTGTCTTGGTAATTTGTGCCAAAATTAGACAGAAAGACTCAAAGTGAAACTAAGCAAATAGGCTTAGTTGAGATTGGATTTAGCTTTGCACCTGTTTAGGTAAGAGTGGTGCAAGTTTTCTGGACCAGTCACAGAATGAAGCAAGCAAAACCACTGCAATCCAGGATGACCTTCAACACTCAATTGAAATCTTCGCTAGTTATAGCTGGGGCTTTGATCAAGTCAAGTTTGGTTGTAGTTTTAAATCAGATTTGATAGGGGGCTGGCAAAGCATAGGGAAACAAATACTGTTATAATCCATCCCAGACTGATTTCAACACTCAAGGGAAAATTTCTCCTGATTGATTTATCTTTATGGATCATAGTTATCTTTTGGCAACCTGTTCAGAGGATGGCTCTGTGAGAATTTGGGGATCACCAAATCCTCTTTTAGTCTGTAAGTTTTCTATTTCTCTATTTTTTTTCACATAGATTGCTATGGGAGGCCCTCTGCCTCAGATGGCATCTTTGTAGTTTATAAGTTCTCTCCCCTCCCCTCACTCCTTGATTGTTCCCAGAACTGAACCTCACTCATTCCAGTTCCTAGTACTGTTGGCTTACTCTCACTGGCTAAGGCTCTTTGAATGAACATCTCATTTAAGATATTTGCAAATACATCAGAAGTCTTCAGGGAGTTGGTGAATTACATGATTAGGGTGCTGGCTTCCCACCATTGTGAACTGAATTCGATGCCCGTTACAGGTTTCACATGTGGGTTGAGTTTGGTGATGTTTCTCACCCTTGCTGTGAAAGTTTCTCTCCAGCAGTGTCCTCCGGTTTTTCTCCCCTCAAACAAAAGTCTGTTTTTATGCTGTGTGGCCCATACAGTGGGAGTTCATTTCGATTGTCATGGCATAAAGTGACCGGGACAATTGCTACTCTTTCGATCCATCTTAAGGTTATTCTTCCCCCCACCCCCGGCCATATTTTATTTTATCATTATATTCCTGGGGAGAGCGAGGCACCCAGACCTCTCGACCCAGAATCATTTGGCCTTCGCGCCTCTCACACAAAAAACATCTGAATTCAAACTTGAACGATGTGATTTTCAATATGCAATAATGTAAAAAAATTAACACCATAAAAAATTTGAAAACTTTTTTTTTCGGCTTAGGGTAACTTCACAGAAACTCTCATTTTCTATTATATAAAAATGTAGTCTATTTTTTTTCCAAAGGTGATGGTTCTACGTCGCAATCCTTTAATTTACAAGTGGAGAGATTTCTTGGTAGAAGGTAACCTTTAAATTTACATTTACTGTAGGTGAGGTCTGACACTCATATTTGATCATCCTAACGTCATGCTTGAATACATTTTTTTAATCCTTTCAGTATTTCAGAAGTGCAAAATATCAAGTCACCAATAACTCCAGCACTTCTTGGAGAGTGTCTGGCCCATACTGGCGCCATAAATGTAAGTGAAAAGAAGAACGACTTTAACTTATTAGTCCACAGAAAGATTTCTCTTAGTTGAATAAATTGATTTATTAAAAGCTGGATCATTGGATAATGCAATTCAAGACTTTTTATTGGCTTAGCCATTATGGTATATCAGCCAATATACCATAATCTAATATCTGTACATCGTAACATCCGGTCTCTTCTCACGAAATAAAGTCGAGAAGATTTGTCTA